GGGGAAAATAGGACAAGGCCACCCCCAGGCAAGTTTGTACTAAATTTTGCTGGCTCCAAGAACGAGCTGCAGTAAACATCACACATACTGCATGAGATTTAGCACCCTAGAAATGCGGATGAGGAACGAGTCAGTAGGTGTTCACCACAGTGCCAAATATGAACCCTTACATTACGCAAGAGCTACACAGCATAATGCTATTAGAACCAAACGGCAACAAATAAAACTGGGGTGATTAGAGAATGTACAAAAAAAAAAAAAAAGATGTATTTTCTAATAACCATTCAATTACGAACACACAATACTGGGTTGTGTGTTTTGTGTAGCCAATATTTTACAGATAAAGAGATTTTGAAAAAGAAAAGAAAACACACCGTGATCAACCACAACATTAAAACCACCTTCCTAATATAGTGTAGCACCCCTGAACGTGTACTGTGATTTCTGGCATTAAGACATTAGTAGCAGTTCCTTTAAGTCCTGCAAGCTGCATAATGGGGCCTCCATGGATCGGATTTGTTGTTCCAGCAGATGCCTCAGACACTCAATCGGATTAAGATCTGTGAATTTCTATGCCAAACAAATTGAACTCTTTGTCATGTTTCTCAAACCATTTGTGGCAGGGTACTTTATCTTGCTGAAAGAGGCCACTGCCATCAAGCAAGGAGTGCTCGTGGTCTGCAACAGATTTTAGATGGTACGTGTCAAAGAAACATCCACATGAATGCCATGACCCAAAGTTTCCTAGCAGAACTCTACCGGTCTGCTCTCTTCCCATACTGTATCTTGCTGCTATCTCTTCCCCGGGTAAATGACGTACCCGCACCCAGCCATCTATCTATTAAAAAAAAAATTATATATATATATATATATATGATTTATCAGACCAGGCAACTCTTTGCTCCATGGTCCAGTTCTGACTCTCCCATCCCCATTGAAGATGCTTTCAGCCGTGGACAGGGGTCATCACGGGCACTCTGACTGGTCTGTGATTATGTAGCCCAACGCATAGCAAACTGCACTGTGTGTTCTGACACCTTGCTATCATTACCAGCTTTTTCACCTCCTGTCTGTTATCTTTACTATCCACTTCACAAGGGTGGAGAGAACCCCATGTTGGTGATTTGCTGGTAATTATAGATATCGAGCACTTATACTCACCAGTTTTTCTGTATTAAGCAAAATCATGTCTGTTGGCACTGATGCTTATCCAGTTCAAAAATATAACAATATTTTACATGTATTTTCCACCACTATATGAAATAAAAAAATAAAAAACATTTGCAGCAGATTGTCTTGTACAACTAATGGTGGAAAGGCAAATATCCCAGATGTGCTACTAGCAGCATCGTATTTAGCAGTGTAAAACGGAATGACTGATATCTATATCATGCATCTCTAGATAGCAAACACTATTAAGTCAAAATGAGATGCAATAGGAAAGAAGACGTCAGCTGCCTGGAGGGTGCTTTCTTGGAAAAACAAGAATAGAAAAAATATCTAGAGACCTCAGGCTTCTGACACTCATTAAACAGACCCCTACAGGTGCAAATTATAAGTAAAGGCGTGGCCCATTACACACAGTTAATTTAAAAAGAAGCTGCTGTGAAGCTTGAGCACAAAAAAAAATAAAAAAATAATAATAGTAATTTAAAAAAAATAAAAATAACTCTCCAAATACATCACATGTGGGTTACTGAAAAAAACTGAATTTTTATTGCAACGTATATAGTAGTTTAAAATGAAATTTGAAGTCATTTGACTTCAATAACCTAATTGCCTTTGCACTTTTTTCCTTACAGAAATGTTATCAATTAATAAAAAAGAAGGATTGCATACAGTGCACAACAGCTCTGGGAGCACACATAAACTTCATGGTAGATTCATTATCATCAATGGTACCAAGTGCGCAAGAATACATTAATAAAAGTAGTGATTCTTAACCTATGGGTCAGGAGCAAAATCTGTTCATGTCCCAGGCAACTGCATAAAATATTAAAGAAATACTATAGTCAGCTTAATGTATTTGTTTTGTGAGTATAGTCAGTCCGTGCAGGCATTTTCATGTAAACATTGCCTCTCCTGAGAAAGGGCAGTGTTTACATTGCTCCCAAGGGACACCTCCAATTGCATAACTAAGGGGCACAATTACACTGCATCCAGACAACTTCAATGAGATTAAGTGATCTGGGTGCCAAGAGTCTCTTATTAATGGAGGGACAGTTCCAGAGCACTCCAGGCAATGAGATGAATTTGTTATAGTGCCTACATTGTCCCTTCCAGACACTGAGGAAAACATTGGACAAAATAAAAACTGACCTGTCCTTACAGTGGCAAATACAGAGAAGCTAGAGGAATTTTTCACTGGCCAACAGCAGGGATTAACTGAGAGGTTGCTCCTACTATGCACCCAAGTTATAAGAAATTTCCAGGGTGCCTACTTAGTAAGTCAGCTACACATGATTTCTCACACAGGAAGAAGGGCATCAGTGTAAATGTCAATGCAAATGTGGCACAACTAAATGCATGTAGGTATTTGGCACTGTATAAATATTTGTACTTTTTTGTACTTGTATCTTACGGGACACATTCAATATCAATCGTATAATGAGAGCCCACGAGTCCCTCTAAACCAGGGTAGAAACACCTGTGATACACTGCTTTAGCATGCTCCTCTCTAGCCCCTACACTTCAGTTCTATCAATAACAAAAAGAGAAGGGGGAACTACAGGAAGAAGCAACAAAGTGACCAGGGCAGTTGAATAAGCCAAGGCACTGGCGCACAATGAAGAGTGGAAAGTAATATTATAAAGGAAAGTAATATTTTAGGTAAGACACAAATTTTGCTATCCAACCTTGGATGGTGAGAGTTCATGATTTGAAATATACCCAGAGCAAATCAGGACACAAGTCCACCTCCAATATGGAAATAAGGTAGGGACAGTGACAACAGGAACAGCACTTTCCTCTCAGAGGCAGCATCAGATGCAAAACCATCAAAACAATCATATTTGTTCCTAGCCATCACTAAAGATAAACTGATCAGATGCAACAAGCAGCTCAAGAGGAAGTTCCAAGGCACTGTTTGTGCATCTACCAGGGCAGCATCAGAATCCATGTTCTACAATACACCAGGAGCTCAACATTTAAATGAGATGCTATTAGGTCTCTCATAAGGGGGGTGTACCAAGATCACAACGAAGTCAAATAGAATCACAGCTTGTTTGAGAACTGGGTAATGAGCCTTGAGGTAATTGTGGGAAGAGCTAGACAGCATGGAACCAGTCTCAAGGAGGGTGGTGCTAAAAAAAGCCCAGACTAACTTAAAGAAACCACACCCAGCAACTATTTGTCACGATGGATCAAGTCCAGATCTGAATAACTACAGATACCCACCCATCAACAACTTTGTTTACCAGACAGCTACAAGAGGGAATTCCAAGAGTTTGCCGATCTCCGGATCCCCTAAATAACGCTGGATGACATGGTTTAAGTTTGAATGTAGTGGCTATGATGCTTATTCTGTGACTAAGTCTTTCCGTTGAAATTATGCGTGCTTGGGAAGCATTAGCTCAAACAACAGAAAGGAGCAAGGCCGGGGGCATCCAGGGACCTTCATTCAGTATAAAATTGTCCAGAAACAGTTTAGCACTTAACAGTAAGACAGCACCTTATGTAGTATTAATAAGTTATGGTGCCTAGAGTGTCCCTTTAACCATAACCTTGTAGGTCTGTCCAGCAATCGTATAGTTAAGGTACAAGCATGAGTGTCTGTTATATCACTTCCTATGAATAAAGTGTTATTAGGAATGATGTGAAACGTGCCTAGTCAGATCCAGATCGTGTAGCAGAAGCCACAGGAAACTAGAAGAGAATGTTCCAGGCACCTCGCAACCTCCAAAAAACATGCTACAAACAAACCTTACAGAAATGCAACAGTTATTTTAAGAAGTTAAAAGGCTGGACAAGCTCCCAGAGACATCTTGGAGACTCGTGAGGGGGGGGACAAGAGAAATAATAAAGATCACTGAGGCAGCTGCTGCTTTTTAAAAAGCCTCTTATAATATTGGAAAACGCAGCTTTTGTTAATTTTATTACCTGGGCAGACGGAAAAGGCTTCTTGATTAAAAGCCATTATCAGAACACCAAAAACTGCTACTAGAAACAAGAACAAATGAGTATATCTGAACTCATAGAGGGAGACAGACAAAGCCCTCACACTCAATAGAAAGAAATAGAATAGAAATAGAAATGCTATTTATGATCCAAAAATGCATAGTGCTCAGAATACTAATACTAGCATGTAATGCAGTACGTCAGAGACTTATTTTTTGTACATTCATAGGTGATCAAGCTAATAACGCCTGTCATGAAAATTTCCATGATAACCGTAGAGCAATTACATTGAAAGGAACACTCCCAGCACCATAATTATTACAGCTCGTTGTAGTGGGACTTATGGAGGTTAAGATGCTACATGTGCTACTTTTCAGGTTAGAGGGTTTTAGTGTAAACTGATGCTTACAGGGCACAAAAGCACACCACTTCAGCTAAGGACATCATCATAAAAAATATAACAAAAAGTATAGCTTAAATAAGGAATTCCGAATAAGTTTACTGCCCCCACTCTACTCAATTTGCAAGGCGTAGGGGGTAAAAAGAAATGGGTTTGAAGGTCCTTATACACAGCAAGACACAACATGCCCTCTCCCAGTCTATAAAATGTCTGTGGTCAAGGTGTTCCTAATTCTCCAGCCACCTTGAGTATAAATAAATAAATAAATAATAATCCCCAATCCGCCCAGATTTACTGAAACCTGGTCGGAAGACCTCAACACCCAAATCACAACAACACAATGGAAGACCATATTCTCCCAAGTACATAAGACAACTATCAGCACGGCCATACAGGAAAGCAATTATAAACAGATCTCTAGATGGTATTTCTCCCCATCCAAACTTCATGCTCTATTCCCTAACAGTCAAGACACCTGCTGGAAATGCACACAACAAGGAGCGTCCCTGGCCCACATTTGGTGGCAATGCCCGCAAACCCAGAGCTACTGGTCCAATATAGTGACAATGATCAAGGTAATATCGGGGATACAGCACCCAAACACACACCACACACCCTGATGTTCCTACTACTGCTACATACCATCCCCAAAACACAAGGACAGCTAATAACACACCTCCTCACAGCGCCTAACCTACTCATTCCAGTCAAATGGAAAAACTCCTCCTCACCAACGATAAGAGAATGGATCACTAAAGTAGACACACTGAAAAATATAGAACAAATCCAGGCCTCCATTTCACACAAACTCACCCTCTTCCAAGAGATATGGGGACCCTGGACGAGATTCCTGTCCAAACCAAACACGGATACATAACACCCCAACCAGACACACCACTACCAGGTCTCAACTTAATAGAGAAACGGTGCCAACACGCACACGCTACCCCTCTCAGTCCGCCCCCCCTTCCTTCTTTCTTCCTTACTGCACACTACACTCAAAACCCTTAAAGGAACACTCAAAGCACCATAACCACTACATCACACTGTTATGGCGCTACGAACCCCTTTTTAAGTAGAAAAACATTATTTAAATGTTTGACTTCTTACCTGGGGTTTGCTGGGTGCCATTTTACATCTAAATCATGAGACAGAAGCTCTCTGTCTTAGCTAAGCCCGGAGGTACAGGGCTATGCTTTTTGGCTGAGAGCGATGAGCTGACAATCTCAGCCAATAAAATAGCAGTGCACTGTAGGGCTTAGCTCAGGAGAGCTAATAGAAGCTGGAGCTTCCAACTCTGTTTCAGAAATAGTGGAGGTGGAAGAAGTGCCGGGTACTCATGGCACCATAATCACCACAGCAAGCTATAGCAGATATGCTGCTTGGAGTGTTCCTTTAAAGTAGCCACTTTGTGTCTTTTTTAGTAGTCACTTCACAAATAACTGCGCTTTCATTGTCATTAAATGTTTTACTCCTCTAAAACACTCATATTAGTGTTCAGAGATGTCTCACGAGTACAACAGTAGCACCCATGTACAGGTTTTATGGTGGTTTGGAAAATTACTGGGACAAACAAAGAGCTTGCATATTTAAATCTCTGAACTTTCTGCTTGGGTTGTCAGGCAGATCCCCCAATATATAATAACTCAAATCACATAATTATGTAAAATAATACATATACACGTAGAATTAAATATACTTAAAATTTTACTTAGAAGGAAGTTATATATATTTCATTCTGTGTGTATATGTTTTATTTTTAAATAATAAAGTAATTTTGTTAGTTAAATGTTGGGGGATCTGCAGGCACTCCCTTTGCGTTAATCACACCGATCAGAGTTTCTGTTGTCATAGAGATCAAATGACTGATCGGTGGGATGGGCTGCAGGGGGACTGCCCCAGTTGTCATGCAGGAACTCCGATTGGTTCTCCGAGTATTTGTGCTGCAGGAAGGGCTAATCGTTACGGCGTTATGCAACCCTAATGGCGTTAAAGATTTCTTTTGTAGGACAGCATAGCACACATGAACGTCAGGAAAGGGTTAGCTCTCTGTGAATCATTGCAATAAGTTTTCTTCTTTGCATCTGGCATTCAGCATAGAGAAAAGATACAGGGCAAATAAGAAACTAAACAGTTTTCATTTCTCCTCTACATGTGTGCCTAGCCTGAACAGGATTGTGATATATATTGTAAATGTTCAATACACATTTAAAAGAAAACCAAGCATCACATGAAAATTATTATTATTTTTTTTTTTTTAAAGGATCGAGGGAACACTATGGAAAAAACAATATAAATCAACATTTTTACACGCTTATATTACATACTTTTTTAATTTTTTTTTAAATTCATGTACCCATATTTCTAAAAAACAAAAAACAAAAAAAAAATCACACAAATTTTCCTTCATTCCACTGCCGAGAGGACCTCAGCAGCTCAATCCACCCTCAATGAAGTCATTAACCTTGATTATTTCTGTCCAATCAGAGGCTTCAAATAATGAAGCACTGCAGACATATGGAACATGCATGCAATTGCCACAATTCTCACAGAAAAGCTCTGTATTCGTGAAGCACTGGCAGAACTATCGCGGTCGCAGCTGCGACCAGGCCCCCTGGAATGACGGGCCAGTCGCAGCTGCAACCCCTGCGACGGAGATGCCGGACAGCATTTTCGTGCGAACGCGACTGCGTGGAAAAACTGCCGGGGCCACATTGAAAGAACCCATTGGCTGGCCCATGCTCAGTGATGATGTCAGAGCTGGGAGGAAGCAGTCACTTCCTCCAAGCCAACAGAGTGCCACGCAGGAGGAGAGGAGGGAGTCAAAGTGGGAGCTCTGACTCCCATCAGCATGAGGCAGCCACTGCACTCCAGGTAAGTCACTAATTTTTTTTATTTTTTTTAAGTTTGTGTGTGTGTGATAGAGAATGTCTGTATCAGTATATCTGTGTGTGGGTGTCTGTATGTGTGTGTCTGTATGTATGTATGTGTGTCTGTATGTGTGCCTGTGTGTGTGTGTATCTGTTTGTCTGCATGTTTGGAGGAGCCGGGATGTATGGGTTGGGGGATGTATGGAGGGGCCCCAGGGCAATTTTTGCACCGGGGCCCCGTGGTTTCTAGTTACGCCTCTGTCGTGAAGTATCAATTTCAATGCTCCTATATAAGAAGCAATAGCCTCATTCAACAAATTGCACTGCATTCATTGCTAGCATGCTCTAGTTTTGACTGGTTCACAACTACTAGAAGAAAGTTTTCAGAATTAATGAAAACAGCCATGTCAAACTCGCGGCCCACAACCAATATTTATGCGGCCCGCGGTGAGGGAGCGCTGAGTGTAAGCTCTCCCTGCTCAGCTCCCTGCAGTGATGCTGGGTGCCGTAATATGACGTCACTCTGGCTCCCGGCATCACTGCGGCACTTACACTCAGCGCTCCATCACTGCCCGTCCGCCTCCCTGCCTGCCCAGCAGCCCCACTAGGCCCCAGGTAAGAAACCAACCCAGTCTGTGTGTGTGTGTATATATGGCTGGCTGTGTGTACAGGTGTATGGCTGTCTGTGTGCATAAGTGTATGACTGTCTGTGTGTATGGCTGTCTGCGTACATAGGTGTCTGGCTGTCTGCGTGTGTGTCTGTCAATGTTTGTGTGTGTCTGTCAGTGAGCCTGTGTGTCTGTCAGTGTGTGTGTGCGAGGGTTTCAAGGAGTAACAGGAGGATCTGCTTTTTTAAGGTGTGGACTCCAGACACTGCTTGTTGGCTGTTTTTTTGTTTTTGTTTTGTTTTTTTTAATTGTTTTTCTTTTAAGCAGGGGTTTTTAGTAGACGGAGGGACTGGGATATAGTAGGCGAGGGGGGGGCTAGGATTTAGTAGACGGGATGAAAGTTTATGTTTGTTTTTTTTTGCAGCCCACGTAAACTTAAACCTTGTTTATTTGGCCCTTGCTAGACTTTGAGTTTGACATGCTTGCTGTAAAACAATGTTTCTGACAAATGTTTGAAAAAAGTATCCATGCAGCAAAACCACTACATTAAGCTATAGTAATTTGGGGGTTCAGATTTTCCACTTTAATACAAGATATAGGTGACTGCCAATGTTTTATTAAATGGTGTAATTTTCATAAAAGTGAAGCTGCATCAGTAGAAGATAATTTCTAAGTATTTTATAAAATATAATTAAATATTCAGATTTCACTGCTTTGGAATTTCACTAAAATTTCAACACCATCAAAAGATATCTTCTCTGTCTTACGTCCAAGCCTGTTTACAAAGTCCAACAGGTATCTTCTCGCACACCATAAGATTTGGTCTATTGCTGTACAGCAGTGATCTGGGTTCCTGGCAAACAAAGCACCAGAAGCTGAAGAACGACAATGGAGATGCTCCCAAGAAAGAGATGCAGGAAGTTCCGGTGCAAGGATTTTTGGATACAGGCGAAGATACATTTTGCATACATTAGTATATCTTACCCTTTTTTGTGTGTCTCCTAAACCCCCTTTGCTTCTCTCTTATTTCCCTCCAACCCCATTGTGTCTCTCTTTCACCCATTTCATAGCCCGTCTATGTTTGTGTCCCAGCCCCTATTTGTCCATCCCCTAGCCCCTCTGGGTGTCTTCCCCTGCCCACCCCCCACCCCAAGCTTGTGTTTGTCCCTTTTAACCCTTCCCAAGCCTCTATCACTTTTCCCCTGTGATTTCCCCTCCCCGTGTTTGTTGTCCCCTCAGCCCCTCTGTGTCTATTTGCCACCTTCAGCTCCTCTAGGTATCTAATTTCTCTGCCCAGCACCTTGTCTCTTTCTCTCCCCAGCCTCTCAATTTCTCCTTGTGTCCACCCAGCTGTCTGTCTTTTTTTACCCAACCCCAGCCCCTCTGTCTCTTTGTGCCCATCCAGCGGCTGTGGGTGTCTCTCAAGCCACTTTCTGTATCTATCTGTATCCTTTACTCAGTCTGACAGAAAGCGGTTCTAAACTCTCAGTGAGCACTTCCTGTCAGACAGGGTAGAGGATACAGAAGGTCCTCTACCACAGTCCTCTCAGCCACACTACATGAAGTGATTTCCAGGAGGGGGGGGTAGGGGCAGCGCTGCCATTCAAACAGATCTTGCACTCCTAGGCCTGTTTGCCCTATGGTTGTGCCAGCCCTGGCTGAAGGTAAACCTGACTATCTTTACCTCCATCCCTGAGCCAAACAGTGGGGATGAGCAAAATATGCAAGATGACAGAGCCGCTTTAACTAAAGTAAGAAAATATAGGTATTTTTTGCATGATGCTCTATTACCTAATGTGCCTAATTTGTTCAACTACTCATGTTCTATCATATATTAAAAGTATACTGTACTGATGAATGGTTTAATATAAATTCATGTAATTATTAACATTCTACTAAACTAAGAAGTAATAAAATATATTGATGTAAAGGTTTAAATATTAAGCAGAATGAGATTGCTTTCTATGCTTGGTTTCGTACTTTGTTATAATGCTGATGTATATTACTCAGAAAGAAGAAAGATTGTTTTGCCTTCGAGGTGAATATTATTGGAAAGCGTGTAACAAGGATCTTTCTCTTCCTGTGACTATCTAGAAGCAATGTATCAAACTGTTCAAACCAGCCGAGCCACTTCCTCATAATAATACACCTCCAGCGATTTCCCTTGATGGCACACGTATGTCACAATCTTAAAATAAGTACCGGTGAGAGATGTAGAGGCTCTAATTGCAGTTCCTTCAGATTCCTGTCACTTGTATGCTCAACATTATTCGTTCTGACTGGAGTGCAATACATCCTTCCCTGTCCTACCTGCAGCTATAAGTGATTGCCTCCCTCAAGAGGATTCTAGAATTGGAAGCTTTAGTGTTTGAGATCATCGACTGGGACAACATATCATAATGCGATCATGCTGTTCAGTAAATATCAAAGATAGTCACGCAAAAACACTTCCACAAAATATACAGGCCTGCAAGCATTCACTGTATTGAACAAACAAGATAGAAGCATTTACCAGCAAACACTAATCTTTTGCTAGCGCATGCAAGGCAGTAAAAGTCGCAAGCTCTAAAAAACTTCTATTAAACTACAACAGAAAATGCAAAGGGATAATTTAGTTTAACCCCTTAAGGACCAAACATCTGGAATAAAAGGGAATCATGACATGTCACACATGTCATGTGTCCTTAAGGGGTTAAAGGAACACTATAGCACAATACTGTATTCCTAACACTGTTTCTCTGAAACTGCTATGTTTACATCTACAGGGTTAAAACCTGAGGGACCTGGCACCCAAACCACTTCATTGAGCTGAAGTGGTCTGGGTGACTATAGGTTCCCTTTACTGCAGTGGTTCTGATGTCCATATCCTGTCTCTGCAGGCTTTGTAATGTAAACACTGCCTCTAGTGGCAGTCACTCAGGTGGTTCAATGCCACTCTATGAGGAGATGATAATTGGCGCAGATCAGCGTTTTGCTGCGAATGCACAATAGCCTCATAATGCTCTTCTATGTGAAAGCATTGGATTGGCTAAGATCGTCAAGATTGATTATCTCAGGAAGAAGGAGGCTGAGCCAGCTGTGGCAAGGGATGGATTTATGGATTATAAATTCAATTCAAACACTAACCTGCAAAGTCTTCATTAATTCCAGTCTTCACTACATCTCCTTGTTACTCCACAAATTCACCACGTCTTGTTCCCTTCGCTTTGTGAGCGACCTTCTCTTGACATCTTTGTTCCTGCACTTCTAACTTCTCTGCAAGGGCGGCCTATTCCTACGGAATTTTCTACCACATACCATCAGACTCTTCTTTAGCTTCCAGTCCTAAGAAATCACAGAAAAACATATCTATAGGATAGCCTGCTATCTTTCTGGGTGACACTTTTCTTATTACAATTGCCTTCCTCAGTTCCCTTGTTTCCATAGCTCAGCTCACTCTCTTTCCTACTGCTCGGTTCAGACATCATGTTTACTAGTTTATCTTGACACAGGCATCTGCTATCATCCCCCCCTTTTCTTTACCCTTTCCACACAGATTGTAAGCTTGTTTGAATAGGGCCTACTTCACCCCTTCTCTCTGTTAATATTCTGTATGTAAATTGCAGTCTATACTTGTAAAGCACTGCGGAATGTGTTGGCTCTAAATAAATGCTAACAACAAATAGCAATGCAAAGATTACTTCAAATAACAGTTCTTTTTGCAAGTAATGGAAAAATATTAAGTCAAACGTCACTCTATAATCACAAGTCATGTCGTCACTGAGCAATATAGCCCTATTTAGAATCTTTCGTAACCAAAGTTACCTAATCAAACGTCTATCCTGGCTTAACTACAACCATTCAAATGCAGAGTGAAATACACTTACAAACTGAAAGGCATTTTTACAGTAGAACAACAGTTTACAATGTAAAGTGTATAAAAGTATTATGAATTAAAGTATAGCTTATTCGGTAAATAAACTAAAATTTATTTTTGTTTTGGTTTTTCCACAAATGGGTCTACAAATTCTAAGAACTTTAATTTTGTCTCTTCTAATCCTCCTGCTGATTCATAATACCAAGCAGAGAGAAAATACTTTTCCATGAGACCCCTAAAGCATTGTATGCTGAAATGCTTTGGAGTTGTTTAGAAAACCCCTTACTCCGGTTTTATTAAAGTTTCTATTTCATGAGAAGGCACTTTCATAAAACAGACTGGGAATGCCCCTTGGCTGTCAAGCAGACACTTCCCCCTCAAAACAAGAGAACTATTGTCCTTTAGTAGTGAGATTTCTTATAGTGAAGCCTTGGCCGATGCCATCATATGAGGAGAATCTGATTTTTATGCCTCCTTATTTAAGTCCATTAAGTATTTTTAATGTCTTTAGGACACTTCTGGCATGCAATGATGGGTTTTGTCATCCTGGTAGCATATGGAAAAGAATATTTATTTTGATAATATTTGTGAATTGCCTTGTGAATAGGTTTCCTGATGCTGGATGCTGGTCTAACCATTTTACCGAAAACAAACTATTTAGTTGCCAGGTTACAGGTAAACACCAAACTTTTTAAAGTGAGAATTCAAAGTTAATTTCAAATTTAAGGTCAAAATAGATAAAATGTAAACAATTTTAAGTCAGCTTTGCTTTCAGTTCAGATACTATGGCCTTAAACTCGAAATTCACCTTGAGTAAAAAACCTGGTAAATAACCTTGCATGCTGTGATAGGGGATAAGATATTAGCCAATATATATTATAGAGATAAACTCTGAACTCTCAGAATTCAGGGACATTTAAAGTCTTACTTTTCAATTAAGGCCTGACTGAGGATAGAAACAACTGCATCAACTATAAGAAGATTGAGCTTACAAGCAAAATAAACTGAAGCCTTTTTCACAGCAGTTCCACTGCAGATAGAAATGCAGATTTCTATTGTGTTCTCAGTATTTAAATTGTATTCAATAATCTGCTTGTCTTTGGGTTACAGAAATTGCATTGATTTGAGATTTTTTGTAAAGTCTTTCATAAAATGAATCATATAAATTCGTCTTTAGATAAATTGGATAAACACCATGTCATAAACATATTAATTATCATTGTACAAATCTATGCCACACAATTTTTTTCAGTGTTGCTAGAAAAACAAACATTATATTATCTATTTCCCCATTTTCTCATCTCTACTCACAAGTGAGAAGAAACATAAGACCCTGGCTGGCTCCCAATAGTAATAAAAGAGCTGCAATACTAGATCATTTGAAAAATGTATTCCACCATGTGAGTGACCCACACACAGGATCTTTGTCAACTTCGCATTAGTGACAGGTGGGACAACAGCCAAAGATATAACGCAGTCTCTAAATAATCAGAAAAATGGCTATGAC